AATATAATTAAAATACAATAATACGAATAATTATGAATAGATTATATCAAAGTATGTTAAAAGATGTCAAAAAATATTAAAGAATATCAAAGTATGTGAAAGGATATTAAAAGATATGGAAAGATATAAGAAAATATGAAAAGATATTGAAAGATATGGAAAGATATAAAAGAACATGAGAAAATATCAAAGGACATTAAAGAATAAAGAAAGATATTTGAGATTATTATCCAAGTATAACTATTTCATCAAAATTAAAAATGATCTTTCACTATATTATTCTACTATATACATGAATATCATATTACAAGATAATAAAAATATAGATTCCAAATATTAAATAAAATATAATGTTTAAAAATAGAAACATAATAATAAATATAGTAATATATAATATAGAAATAGAAATATTTATAAAATAAATGAAAAATATAGAAATATGCAATTTTGCATAACTAGGGAAAGATTAAGAAATTAAGAAATTTTATATCACTACAGTAACACTACTATAATATTTAATTATATTAGCTATTACAATTAAAATTATAGAAAAATACAATTTCAGCTTCAAGATAAGTATGTCCAATCTTAGTCAATACATCTCAAAGTTTCTTAAAAATCTTACAGATGATAAAAAAAGAAATCAGGCATGAAGATATCTTCAGAATGATTTTAAATTTAGCAATGAGCAGGTAAGTATATTAATAGCTAATCAGAGAGCTAATAAAACCAAAAACATAAATATCATTAAAGATAATTATAGAATAGCTATAATCAAGTTCCCAAAAAGTTTGGAAGAAGAGATTATTAGAGAGATAACAAAATGAATCTTACAAAATAAATATGAATTTAGTGAGAATCAAGTGAATAACTTATTCTCTATTCAGAAAAATGACCAATGTGAAAATACCTATTGTGAAAGTATCTCTGATAAAACCATAAATATTGTGATTTCCAACAATCCCCAAAAAAGAATAGAGGAGACTATTGGAGATATGATGCAATGGATTTTACGGGATAAACTTAACATTAGAGATGTAAGAGCTGAAGCTTATATCTTAGTCCTTTTAGCAAAAAATGCTAATGCTGATTCATCATGTCTTTTCCAACTCAGAAAAGAATTAAGAAGCTTTGGTGCATCATCTGAAATAATTGAAGTGACAAAATTCCCTGATATTACAGGGAAAGCCAACGCGATCCAAAAAAATTGGTGAAAATTTGTTGAGGAATTCGAGAAAATTGACTATCCAGATTATTTTATATTAGAATCGGTCAAAGAAAGATTGGATGGTTATGATGTATCCACTTTGCCTGACTTCTAAGCTCTCGCAGATATTATGATAATGCTTTGTATGCGTCCCGCTGAACTTATAACTTTACGTATTACGGATGCTGGTGTAACAGGATATGCAAAGAACAGGGGTCAACAAGATATTCCTAGAAAATTTATATCTATGGAGAAGGATCAAGAACGAGCCAAAGAATTACTAGCCTGGATACAGAATGCTATATCTTCTGGTCGAATGGGTGATCCAGGTAAGCCAGGAGTTAAATGGTTCAATAGATTCTTAAAAGACTATGATTTAATTCCTCGCCATTTGCGTAAATTAGGAGCAGTTTATGGTGCTGTAGTACACAAAGCAGAGAATCCAGGACGTATTATGACGATTGCTGGAGAATGCCTTCGCCATAACCCAAATAATCACACTTCTCCAGTACAAAACTACGTTGTTGTGAATTATCGGAAAATTGGTCAATCTCCAGATCAAGCAAAACCATTCCAAACTTATGATAAAGATTAATTACTAGGCGCGAAGCGCTCTGCGAAGCAGATCCTCCGGTCACAGTACTTCAACTTTGTTTTTATTTTATTGAAAAAGTTGCCAAACGGCATATAATACAAATAAAAATATATGTCAGAGGCACTATACTCCGTGTATTTGCTCTGTTCCAAAAAGCAACTTACATCATCTCATTTTTATACATAACCTTACGCTTTCGCCGTTAATCGCTATTGTTTTAATAATCTACTTGTTTCAAACTTGATTTATCAAATTTATTTCTTGACTCATCGATTTTTTCAACTAAATTTGTAGTAATATCATTTTTATACCCATGTTCCGAATACGTAACTTCTTCGGCTGATAGTAATAACATACTAAGAATATTACTAATTTTTTTGTTAATAATCGATTCATCTTGAAAAACCGACTCTTTTCCATCAATAACGACGCGAAAAGGTTTTAAAAGCTTTTTTGATTCTGTCGTTTTAATACGATCAATATTTTTAACCTGAACTACTATATAATTCCAATAATCATTATCAATAGAAAGTGATTCCATGTCGTCTCCAAGATAACATATTCGTTGAATAGTCGGTTTTAGTTGTGACACATTTTCTTTTCCGGATACTTCACGGCATACAATGTGAATTACACTGAATTCTTTTTTGAACGAGACCTCGTATGGAACTTTTACTTGAAAGAGATCTGCTATTAAACAATTTGCAATTTCTTCTGTATGAGGTATATCCGTAGGCGCTTTTAGTAGTGAACTAAGGTCTTTAATGGTTAGGTTTTTTTCATCATCCAACAGGAGGATATTTCCTATTACTGGCAAAGGATATGTAGTGTTTCCGAAAAGACTACATACTAAACGAGTAGCCAAAGGGTTCACGGGCAAACGTTTTCGAATGCCGACATCATCACAAAATAGGCATAGTTTGTAATCCTTTACCCGAAGAGTGACATTGTCGGTAAGTTCACAATTTAATTTCTGTCGAATACCACCAGATTCGATATTTAATTCTACTTCTTCTGGCCTACCAGAGTATGGAATGAATATCCCTTGATATAATTTACTGGACATGTTGCGAATTACAACAATTCAATAAAAAGTAATAAATTCAGGGATACTTTACCGTATTTAAAATATTTAAAACGCACCATTTTTTGGGGTTTATTCTTTATTGAGAAATGGCTCTGTTGCACGAAATGCATTGTGACTCAGCAAAAAATCTTACGAGCTGATTATCACTGTCTCGGTGTTGATGATCAGTATTCCGGACTCGAAATTTTCCGCATTAAATATATCTTATCTTTATCAAAGCAATTATGACAAGTAACAATTTTAATAAATTAATACTATCTACTGATTATTCCTGTAAATTACATCACGTTATAACGAATCGATATTATGTGAATTAAATCCGCGAATCAGAGATTGGCATAGACGTATTTCGGAGAAATGTAGTCTCGTGGAACATGCAAATATATTTACACGAAAATCTTTATTTAACCACTGATCAATGATATATTTACATTTTAAACTGATATAGCTCATGATAATTTCTGCTATATTATATCCCATCGGGTAGTGGATCTTCAGCCTTTAAACCACGTCGGACACGCGACAAATCTATTGGAAATATCGGTTGTTAATAGTTCTGTACGAATTATATAAAGATGTTTGATTAACAAAACTAATTACTTACCAATATTCCCTCGCCTCTTATCACAAGATCTTTCTGGTATCGCAGTTTGACTTTTTTCGGTTAGGAGAGTGTGATTCGTTTAAAAATTCTTTTGTATTATCAAAAGAAAAATTTATTATCAAAAGAAAAATTATTTAAAGAAGTGATATTAAAAGATGTGTTATTTAAAGACAAGTTGTTTGAAGACATTTTCGAGAATTAAAGATTATTATTTGATTTAAAAAAGTAATTATTAAATTATTACTTGATTTTAAAATGATATTATTAAAATGAAAAACCGTTTTTTAATCAATATTTATAATTTTTTTTTAAAAAAAAATTATAAATTCTTATTTATATATTTTGATTTTCTTTTAAAATAAGGGAAAAAGATACATAAAAAATGGAAAAAATTATATAAAAAAATTAGATAAAACAAGTTTTTTTAATATAATCTATTTATAATTATCTTTATTCTTTAATTTTTATAATAGATTAATCAAGTTTTTCTTAATAAAAATAATTTATTCATTCATATGACTTATAAAATCATAAAATCTAAAAAATCAGATGATTATAATAATCAATTTTTTTTTATAAAAATATCTTTGTTTTTATATTAAATAATAAATATTATAAATAAATAAATTAATGTTAATATATTATATAATTAATTTTTAATTAAAATAATAATAAAATAATTTAATATTGTCTAAATAATTTCTATTATTTTAATTAAAATAATAATAAAAAAAATTAATATTATATAAATATTTTTAAAATATTATATAAATAATTCTTAATTATTACAGTTTATTTTTTTAATTACAAATTATATTTTTATTTTTTTTAAAGTCTCAAGAAAATTCAATTTCCATCTGTATTATTCTTGTTACATTTCCAAATAATATGAATATGAAACAAATAAGAAAAGATTTAATAATTATATTTTTATTTTTTTTATTTTTATATTAAATATATTTTTATTTTTATTTATTTTTATATTAAATATTTAAATATTTTATTTTATTTTCAAGATTTAGTTGAAAATAAATTTGCTGATAGTGTTAATATAATAAATAAAATAAATTCAATATATCATAAGTTTAATTAATAATAAAAATTTTTATATTATATAACTAATACTTTTAATTATAGGTTGAAATGGAAAAATTGAAGAAAATATTGAATTCTTAATTATCATAAAAATAACAAAATCACTTATTGATGATAATATAAATTTTATTAAATTAATTCATTTATATAAAGTTCTAAGTATTATTTCAATTAATATAAATATTTAATTTTTATTTTTTTTTGATTTTTTATAATTAATTTTATATTTTTTACTAATATATTAATAATAGTAATAATAATTATTTAAATTAGATTGAAAATAATGTAAAAAAATAATATATAATATTATTTATTAATAAATTAAATAAATTAATTAATATATATACCAGGAATTGAATAATCTTTACAAGATAAATCAATATAATAATCTAATTTAGAAACTAAATTAAAATATAAAGTATATATATTTAAACCAAATTCTAATTCAGATTTTAAAATTATATTTTGTAGAAAAATAAATTATTATAATAAGAAAAAATTATTTTTATTTTTATATTTTAATTTATAATATTAGTATAGTGATATAAAATTTCTTAATCTCATAATCTTTTCTTGATTATGTAAAATTCTATTTTTCTATAATTTTATAATTTATTCTATAATTATTCTTATTCTTTTATAATGATACATTTATTTCTCTTATTATATTTATTCTTTATAGTTATATTTTTATTTTTAAATATTATATATTATTCTCTTTATTTTGAGATCTATATTTTTAATTTATCTATTATATGTAATTTATATATAATATATTTGAAGATCTTTTTTTAAATTTTTGATAAAATAATAAAATATTCACATATATTCACAGATATTGATATTTTAAATATTCACACATGTCTATAGATATTAATATTTTAAATATCTTTCAATATTCTTAAATATTCATAAATATTTATCTTTTTAATATTAATATTATTAATATTTAAACTATTAGTACTTTAATTTATAGTTCTTTGTAATAATGACATATATATTTAAATAATATTAAATAGTAATATTATAATAATTTATATATTCAAAAATATATAAAAGAATCTGCTATCCCAGCTTAAAATAAATAGTTTTGAATTGAATTATTTAGAAAATATAATTAAAAAACTTATTATTATAATAATAGTAATCTTTTTA